GCGTGTGTGTGTGTGCGTGTGAGTGTGTGCGTGTGTGTGTGTGTGCGTGTGTGTATGCGTGTGCGTGTGTGTGAGCGCGTGTGTGTTTGTGTGTGTTTGTGTGTGTGTGTGGTGTGTGTGTGTGTGTGTGTGTGTTTGTTTGTGTGTGTGTGTGTGTGTGTGTAAACGCGCTTGTGTGCACAGGAGATATTAAGAACGAAATGAACCCAGCGCACGTGGCAAAATAGCCTCGCACAATGAGTAACAATGTTCTGGTAAGCCTTGTTAAGTCGCCATCACAAAACAGATCCGTCTATTATATCTGTTGCCATTATGTTGGGGATGAAGCATTTTATCGGGCTGAGCAGAGGTGTGTTAATAAAACACGAAGAATCGACGAAATGATGGCTCTATGGAGAAGACACAATGCACAAAAAGCAATAACAGAACGTCCATTTAAGTTACAATCAGCGCAAACGCAATCTAGAACTCACATGCAATTCCCTTTTTTCCAACCCCACGTCAACCCCTAAAACACTCCTTCCTTTCTGAAAGAACCGTTTTTTCGTTTTAGTAGAGGTTTTACGGCGCTCGCAACTGCATAAGGTCATATGAGCGCCAGAAGATTAGAGGTGTCACAAGAGAGTAACAAACATAAAAAAGAAGGAGAGATAAGGACGATAGATGTTTGATAGGAAAGAAGAAGCAAACCACACCAGAGCACCCGCCAACCACCCACTCTGAAAGAACCTTCGAAGAAAAAAAGATGTTCAAGAAAATAAGGGCCAAATAATTCAAATCTTCCGGGGAAATTGAACAACCACCTCTGCAGCATGGCGTAATCACCAAATCCACAGCGACAAGTTAATGCTATGATGTTTATGTATGCAAAGGGAAAATATTTTGACATGTAAAAGAATAATAACAAAATCTGGCAGTTTTTCAAAGGGCCTTCCACGTGCACCCACTGGGAATGCAGCACCAGAGCTCACAAAATAACAGACATTACACCGACGGGCAAAAATGAAGGGGGACGATATTATCGTTAAAGTAAAAGTTCTTCAAAGAGCGACCCTTCTCATCCCAAAACATTCTAGACATATTATAGCCTGCCAAGTGTCATTTATATGGCAGTAATCGCAGACAGTTGGAAAAAGTAGGAGAGATTTAGATCTAGTGTGAAAGTATTTGTCGTCACGCCTGCCAAGTATAGTTTTGGGAAAGTTTCGAGTAAGACAGAAGAACGACGACACACAGGTCCGGAAACGAAAACCCAGACGGTAGGCTATCCTATACACTAGGGGTAGGAAAGGATACAAAGAAAAGAAATAGGACCTACCACCACAGGCACCCGCCCAACAGCCGTTCATAAATCACAGGCAACAATTTGGAGGCACTGGGGGTTGCAAAAGGTCATGTTCGCAACACTATAAATATTTATACAGTCCGTTTGCTTTGCTCGGTCTGTATTTTACATAAACAAAAAACACAGAGATAGAAATACGGCAGAAAAAAATACCATTCTAAAGGTGCGCAAAAAGAGGGGGAAACAATGATAATACGTCTGTGGGCACACAAGGGTGTTTCTAAATTATGCGTGCCTGCTTGCGTCTGTTAAGAGTTAACACTTGGAGTGGGTGGGGTCGGATACGAGGAGGGAAGCGGGACAGAGCCTGAGAGCAAAGACATGGAGAGAGAGAGAAAGAGAGAGAGAGAGAGAGAGAGAGA